AGGAAATGAGGAAGCACACAGATGGATGTGGTGAAGGAGTAGCTGTAGCTCAAAACATGTGCCAGCTGATGGACGCTCAGTCGTTTTTTCAGACAAAAGACAAAAACAGAAGATAAAAATCTTTAAATCTTATGCGGATAAAGCAAAAAAGGAGACGTAGGCTACGACAAGATTATAATATAAGAGCTAACTTGAGCTTTTCTATAATCTTGTTAGCAAACGTTGTATGAAATCAGCATAAAGTTTCGCATCATTTTTGTCTCTCCTGAGTTTGAGATTTAGTCACGGTACGAGAGCCGGCCGTGACCAAATCTAATCACAGTAAAATAAACTTTATTCTGACGCAAAATATCAAATTTTTAGGTGTTTAAGTGTTAAGTGTTTAAATTTCGTGTTTCCTCCCAACACAGTATTACGGAACTCGTCAGTCACCATAGCAACCGTGTAAAACGGAGCTTTAAAAGGATACTTTTTTTAACCCAAACCACCCTCTGCTTGTAACAAAGTGAACTTGATTTTATTTTAAATATCCTAACCATAACAAAGTAATCTTTAATAAATACAGATAAAGTTTGGGAAAAACCGTGACGTCTCTATGTGAGCCACGATTTGCACCAACCTCCGAGTGTGTGTGTCATTATTAGTAGTATGCTCCTTTCACGCATGTGGGTACACATCAGTAGGCCTACATATGTAGACTGGAGTTCGGGTTCACGAACTCCCTGAAATTGAGCTTGGGATTTCTTAAAAAAGCTGGGATGATTAGCTTGTTCAGTTAAATGGAGTTCCGGGATGATTTTGGGTCCTGGGAGAGGGTCAGTCATTACAGGAAATAAGCTACTTTGACAAAGATGACAGGACTGAAGAATACGGATGATGGGACTCCACAATTTGTTTTTAATTCAGTTCCGTTTTATTCATATAGCGCCAATTCACAATAACAGTCGCCTCAAGGGGCTTTAAAGACCCCAAGAGACAGATGACCGCCTAGTAAGCACTTGGCGACAGTGGGAAGGAAAACCTCCATTCTTACCAGGAAGAAACCTCCTGCAAAACGTTGGGTGAGAGGCGAAACACCTTTGCGAACCCAAAAAAGTCCAGTTGCCTCCTTTCTTATTTTCAAGCTTTCAAAAGCTCAATGACTTTTGCAGGATCGAAAAATGGACCAGGAACAAGCGAGAGCTGCCATTTTTGCTCCTCTTTGATCCTGGGGATTTGAAATTGGCCATGTCTTCTGTCAGGAGATTTAGTCATAGTTTGTTTTGTTGTTGTTTTATGTTTACCCCTCAAACTTCAAACGTTTCACTTCACCGTGTCTGAAAAACTGAACTAAGATAATTGTATCTTCAGCCTGTGCTCTTAAAGACTGACATGTTATTATAACATGTCAGTCTTTCAAGGTTGTTAGACTTGTACAGTCCAGAGAAATGTTCGTGTTCGTCAGCTGGTAACAATTCTTCAACTAATAAAGCAAGAACCTACTACGAATATATAGCTTTCAAGCAATTTTAAAATACAAGACTCAAATGATGAAACAACAGATATGGAGGACTGGAGGGAGGAGTGACAAATAACACGAGAAATCAAACAATAAACTAGGACTTAAATGCAGCGAGAACTAGCTTAAAAAAGAAAAATACAACATCCAGCGGTCATGGTCCCCGCTTGTCTTCATTAAAAAAAGTAAAAAGTGAACCAACTGTACTTAAAAAGAAGAAAACTGACTTTGTTGTACTCACGAGACACGAATTTGCAGCACATACTCATCTGAACATCATATATTATTGAGTGACAGAACAATGAATTCACGAGACCACGTGGTCATGTGACACGACAGCGATATTAGTGATAAACAGGGGGACAACACATCTTATCACGAGCCTACAATTTAAATACATTCATTCTAAAACAAAAAGCGTTTGATCGTCAGACATCGCCTCTTCTCTCTTCTGTGGCTGTGGAGGGTCCTCCCGCACTGCGAGCGGTGCTGTGCCGAAGCTTTTTTTAAATTTATCATCATATGCTGCCTGCTTCGCAGCACACCGCATGATTTTTTTAAATCACCATTTTAAGCAGCGCTGACGCATCAGAGGGCTTCATGACTGGGACAGTGTGTCGGGGTATGGTCAGCTCCTGATGGCCCATGTCTTCCAAAACCAGGCAAGTATCGCCGACAAGAGGTGGATGGTTGTGCATGCATAATGCGCAGTGTGAGCGGTGAGGGGCAGAGCGGCGGGGGGTGTCATCCAGATGTGATGGATGTAGTCTGTGAAGGTTCACAGACTGGACATTAAATATCAGGATTATCCGATGGTTCAGGGTTTTTGTCGAGGAAATCCTGCACGCGTTAATCTACAGCGAAGATCAATCAGGAAAAAAAAGAATCAATATTCTGCGGCTACAGGCGTGATTTATACAACCCACGCTACTGTATTATTATTAATATTATTATTGTTGTTGTTGTTGTCTCTTAAATTATTACAGAGGTGTGCGTGCCACCCCACCTCACACAAGATTTTAAAAACTTAAAAGTATTTCTTGGTGATAATGTTAAATATTACTGTTATTATTGTTCTGTTATTGTAAATTCACTTAATTTAATAAGTGTCAGGGTTCTGTTTCTATTTCAAAAGTCCAAGTTTAGTTTTGTTCACCTGGTTTTATTTTATTCTATTTCATTTTTAATTCAAGAAGATCAAAGCTCCCTGTGAGGTAGGGTGTCTATTATTTGTGTGAGGTTTTTTTTTTTTTTAAATTTAATTAAAAGGTTTCTTGAAGTAAAACTGCCATAAATGATTTAAAATTATATTTGGCTTTCTTAAAAGAAAGTGGAGTCATTTAAAACCTGTCACTCCACTGCAAGTCATAAAAAAATAAAGACAAGAGGGAAGGGTTCAGTTTTGACACGTTAAAATATATTCAGTTCAGGCTTATTTTCTAGTCCCGCACCCTGAACAGTCACCTCAAAGCGCTGGTGCTATAAGGTAAAAACACAACAGTATTTAAAACAAAACAAAAAAACAATAAATAAATACAAAAAAAACAAGCAACCTGTCAAAGCAAGCACTTTGCAGCAGTGGGAAGGAAACAGTCCCTTTTAACAGGAAGAAACCGGAAAATTGTGGGAATATTTTCACATAGAAAATGATTTTTCTACACCAGCACCTGTCTGTTAGGGTTTTTTTCCTGGAGTGAAAGCATCTTAACTGAAAGCATTTACACATGAATCAGAGAAAGTTGCACATGTTAATGCATGTCCTTTTTTTGTTTTTATCTCCACAGATTTCCTGATATTGATTCTGTGTGTAATCTGGGACATGGACAGACGGAGCCCAGGAGACAGACAGGCAGACACCAGTAAGACAGTAACCACTGCATCGTCATCATCTGTCGTCACCATGGCAACACCCAGTTCCAGCGCCCAGCCGCCCTCTACCTCCCTCAGCATCATCCCACCAGACAGACAAGCAGTCCAGGTAATAAACTGCACCTGCGACCGATATGTGTGTGGCTCGTTTAGTCTTAGTTTCACTTCACAGGTAAAGAGTCGGGGTAATAGACAGGAAGCTGCTTACAGTCCCTACGCACGGTGTGCTTGACAGGCAAAAAGTCCAAGCTATTTCTGTAAAGTGCACACAGAGGACTTGATTTAAAGGTGATCCAAGTAATGAACAGTACCACTGACCTCAGTATGCATTTATCATATTGATATACTGAATATTAATTGTCTATTGACTGTCGTTTGTCAAGCTATCAGGTATTACTTTTACGAGACAGTCCAAAGAATAAACAATAGTAGTAATTATGCATCATAGTATATACACTATATTGTCAAAAATATTCACTCACCCATTCAAATCATTGAATTCACCTGTTGTAATCACTTTCATGGCCACAGGTGTATAAAATCCAACACCTGGCATCCAGACTACTTCTACAAACATTTGTGCAAGATCAGGTAGCCCCAGTGGGCTCATGAAATTTCCTCGTCACTAAATATTCCTCACTCAACCGTTAGTGGTTATAGTACAAAGTTTGTGACCTTCAGTAAATTCTGAAGGCCACAAACTTCATGCGGCCTTCAGAGCAGCTCAGTAGCAGTGTGTAGAGAGTTTCATTGAATGGGTTTCCATGGCAGCTGCATTCAAGTCTTACATCACCAAGCACAATGCAAAGCGTCTTATGTGGTGGTGTAAAGCACGCCACCACTGGACTCTGAAGCAGTGGAGAAGCCTTCTCCTTCTGGCAATCTGACTGTCCAGCATTAGTGTCTGACCTCACAACTACATTTCAGGAAAAATCACCAAAAATTCCCCATCATAATAAACCCTATAGATTTAGAATGGGAGTCACTAAAGTTCATATGTGTGTGAAGGCAGACGGGTGAATACATTTGGCAATATAGTGTATTTGAACAGGTGATTAGATTTTGTTGTTAAAGTAGATAAATAGCCTTGTAAGGCTTTTAGCCAGTCTGAAGAAAATGTACATCGTGTGATCCAACAGGTGATCCAACATGCCATGAACAGACCTCAGAGCATGGCGGCCCAGTACTTGCATCAGATGTACGCAGCCCAGCAGCAGCACTTCATGCTGCAGACAGCAGCCCTGCAGCAGCACCAGCATCCCGCACATCTGCAGAGTCTGGCTGCCATCCAGCAGGTCGGGTGGTGTCTGTCTATGTGCTGTGTGTCTGTGTGAGGATCAAGAATGGAAAGTAAAACGTGTTCTCACTGCTTTTCAGGCTTCAGTCTGTCAGAGGTCACCTTCTTCTTCTACAGGCAGTTTGGTTCAGGCTGCGGGTGTTTCCCAAAACTCGGTAAGTGCTTAAGTGTGTTCCCACTCTGAGCACAAATACACACCTGAGCATATTTAGTTTTTGTCACAGCTCTCATCATGCCGCCCCTCATCCAGATAACTTTACCAGCATCTCCAGTGACGGCAAGGCTGATTGGTCGAACTCAGACATCCACTGCCAGCGCAGCCACAATATCTCAGCAGGCCATGCTTCTAGGAAACAGACCTGCCAGCTGTAACCAAGCTCAGATGTACCTTCGAACTCAGATGGTAGAAACCTTTTTATCTTTGATCTCGAGCTGCATTCATGCTGCTTTACTGTGTTGCCATTTTGAGTGCATGAGCAACTTTTTATGGCTGATTTTTAACCAACATGGCGTCTGAGCTTCCCTGTTGCTTCTATCCTTGCCAGCTGATTCTAACTCCTGCAGCCACAGTAGCTGCAATTCAGTCAGACCTCCCCACTGTGACCTCCTGCTCCTCATTACCTACCTCCTCTCAGGTACAATCCTGCCACAGTGCTGCACAATTATGTGCCTCAGGCTGTTACAGAACATACAGTGGACCTATTATGCTCATTTCAGGCTCCATGTTATTGTCCTTGGACTCTCTTGCAGTAGCTTTGCTCACTGCCCACAGCTTTAAAGTTACTTTCTTCTGATTTGCTGCCCCTCTTGATCTCATCATTAAGAATATCCCTCCCCTCTTTGACATCATAAAGAGCAAAGCGGGTTGTGTTTTTTGTTTTGTTTCAACATTGCATACATTAATTAGATCAGCGGTCCCCAACCTTATTTGCGCCACGGACCGGTTTATGCCCGACAATATTTTCACGGACCGGCCTTTAAGGTGTCGCGGATAAATACAACAAAATAAAACTAGTACCGGTACCGAAAAAAAGAAGATTTATTCATAACACACGTGAAAAGACCCAGGAAAACAGAGTTAACTATAAAAATGATAACATAATAACACTGAAAACCGATAAAACCCTGAAAACCATACATTTCACACCCGAGCCTCAACTCTCGCGGCCCGGTACCAAACGACTCACGGACCGGTACCGGTCCGAGGCTCGGGGGTTGGGGACCGCTACTTTAGATCATAATATAAGGAACAGCAGAATAGGTCCACTATTTCTGTATTTATTTACGTGATGTCAGTGTGTTAGGACAAAGTACAGCACTGGCTCTTTACTCCATGACCAGAAACTTTTAATAACTGCGAAGACTAACTGTTAACCTCTAATACTCGCTGCAGAATCTGGCTCTGCGTACCCATTTGCCGGGAGCTCTGGCTACAGCCCACAGCGTCATCTTAAAACCTTCCACCGAGTCCCAGGCCCTGCCTGCAGCCACCTCTTTGTCCAAGAATCCAGTCTGTGGGCTGAAGAGCACCCAACTGACTGATGGCTCAACAGAAACAGCGCCATCTGATGCCACCTCGTTGGTGTCAGGACCCCAGATTATAACCCCAGGTGAGTTTGTGTCTTCCACGGTTTGAGATAACTGCAAGTGTAAGAGGCCAGAGACAAACTTAGGGTGGACACTTGGTTTTGGTTTGATACAAGCCATGCAGCAAGCATACTGATGTTCATGTAATGCAGATGTTTGCTTTTTTTGTCAGGTTAAGTTTTTAATGACAGCTCACCTGCTGGTTATTATGTTCCTCGTGCTCCCTCTGCAGCCTACCCTCCAGTGCAAACCCACACTCTAGTCAAGCAGCAGCTGTCCTGTCCAGTAGGCCAGCAGGTGGCGCACCACCAGCTCATCGTCCAGCAGGCCACAGGAGGGGCTCCCAGCAGCAGACAGTTGCAACCAATTGCCCTCAGAGTAGCACCCCGAGATACCCACTCCAATCCTCTTCCTCTGTCGGTTAAAAGACTAACCGCCTCCAGCACCTACTCACAACTACGAAACGAGCCCCCAGCCCTGTCTTCTTCTTCCTCCCCATTAGTCACCAGCATGCTTGCATCATCACCTCAGACTTCAGTCCCAGCTGCTGCCGTTCAGCCTCAGCCACCTCCTCTGGTGGCTGCGCCACAGCGTCGGACCTCATTCCCACAGAGCCAGCAGCCTCCACCTCCTCCTCCTCCTCTCATTCTCCCCAGGCTGCCCCAGAACCCCCCAGCCTCCCTTCACAGGGTGTCCCTGCACTCAGTCCGGGCTTTGGCTGTCCAGTCAGGACAGGTACTGCTAACGGAGCGGGAACTGCCTGTGGCGGAGGCTCTGGTCCAGATGCCCTACCAGAACCTGCCACCTCCTCAAACGGTGGCTGTTGATCTGAAAGTGCATCCAGTCAAACACAACGAAACTGCACCCGTGAGTCAGCACGTCCTGCTTTGAAGAGCTCCTGAGTAGATTATGAGTTGGTTTGAATGAGGTTTTGTTTTGTTTTGATTTTCAGTTGGGGCAAAAGTGCAACGTGAACAGTCTGAGCTCAGAGGAAAGGAAAGATCCTCCAAGTTCAGAACAAGACGGGACCGCTACACCACCCAATCAAAATGGTTCAGGTACAGAATTATTCAGTTAACAGGATAACCTGCCTCCATGAGACCCCCTCACCCCTCACTCTTTATGCTTTTTATTGTGTAGCAGTGACGGGTTCATCCTCCATCACCCCCAGCCACTGGAGGAGTCCTCCAGTGGAGGAGTCCTCCCAGCTCACGACCACTGACAATAGCGGCAATAGTGGCACCAACAACCCTCCTCCTCCACCACCTTCTCCTTTACCTCCTCCCCTCCTCCCTGCTTCAGCACAAGTCCCCAGCCAGCCTCCTTCTGCCCCTGCAAGTCTCCCAGGAAGCCCCAAGAGGTCAACCCACGTCCTCACACACCTCGTGGAGGGCTTTGTCATCAAAGAGGGCCTGGAGCCGTTCCCGGTATGTGGATGTGCCCTGTGCAGAAAGTTCACTGCTGATTAATGGGAAGCACTACAAAAGCACTTAAAATCAGCTTTAATCAATTATTTAATTATGTGTGTATAAACAAAATGAAAATATTTCTGGAGCAGGTGAGGAGAGGAAGGTGGAATAAAACTTTTCCAGGCATTTAAAACTTAAGTAAATGTCTCATTTTAATATTATAAACAGATGTAAATATGACAATTGAAATATGACAGTGCATCACTGTCTTTACATTGTAACACTGGTGATGCTCTACAGTCAACAAATGATGTCTGTCACTTTATCAAAGCTGCTGGCATGGCTCATTTATGCAGAAGGTGTCTTTTTACAAGGAAGCTTGATGCAACTAGTTAAGGCTATAGTGAGAGGAACTTAGTTGTGTGAAACCTTGTTTCAGTGAATTAAAACTTTTTTCTTTTTCTTTTTTTTCTGCCATTTGGGTTAAAAAAATTGGTGTAAGGTTTTCAATTTTTGAATGTGCTACTCAATGCAGGTGGGTCGGTCATCACTGTTATCGGAGCAGCAGGCTTCCCTTCCAGAACCCCAGGACGTACCGACCAATGGGGATGCAGCAGACGACAGTCCTCTGGATGCTGACCAGTCAGATTCATCTGACTCTGAGATGGAAAATGACGGCCCTACAGGAGAAGGTGAGAGAGGTGTGCGTGTTTGTGTGTGTG